GCCCTGACAGACATGGCAGTTTCACCTGCACCACTTCACAAGTTCCAGGATCAAACTCTCAACCCTCAACCTCTTCAATGCTTCACATCAGTCTCCCAGCAAGAAGTGACATCTATTATCAAACAAATGAAATTGTTCACTTGTGCCTTGTGCCCTAGATCCTTTCCCCGCTGCTCTGCTGAAAAGAAACATCTCGTTCATCAGTTCTCTGATCACATCTCTGATAAACCTTTGCTGCCAGACTGGTTTTGTTTTACCTACTTTAAAAAGTGATCCAGATAGACCTGTTGCCAAACTTCCATTTCTGTCCAAAGTGCTGGAAAAAAATGTTGCAGCCTGTCTATATGACCACCTCACCACTAATAATGTCTATAGCCCTATTCGCACGGGATTACGTAGTTTTACCTAGGGACCACATGCTATTTGTAATAATTATGGAGATCGTCTGTGTTGTTAATCTCGTGCAAATCGGCCATGTCAGTAATTTGTAAAATAAAAATTCCCCCGCAAGTTACCTACTATATTTTGCAGAACTCCGGGGTCCTGTGATAATACTAATCCCATGCGAATAGGCATCTCTGTGATTTGGACAGAAATGGGCAGGATCTGATATGTAATTAGGTGTTTTTTTGTTTTTGTTACGCAAAATCATTTGGAAAAATATAGAACAAGGCTATTTTAAATGAACGCGCTGCTCGTTTCGGCTTTTATACTACTACTTCCTTCACCGCAGATGACAGCAGGTGTGGAGACACGCGCATATCAGCTGACCCATCCATCCATCAATCCACGATATTTACCCATTTCTTCCTTTTCGGGTAGCGGGAGTCGCCGAGTTGCTGGTGTCGATATCCAGCCATCACTGTGCAAGAGGCAGGGGACACCCTGGACAGGTCACAAGTCCATTTCAACAGGAGGGTCAGCGGACGCCATCTGAGCTTAACGTGGCTTTTTTTTTTTTTAACCTCTTAAACCGGCCGGTCGGACCTGCCTCCTCCTCAAGAAGCAGATTAACACAATTTTATATTGTGCATTCTTTAGTTTTGCCGATTCATAAAACCACATCAAAGCCTTAGACCAGCCCGACCCGCACATTATATGGACCGGAACGGTCCCGAGGTAAAACTAATCCTGTGCGAATAGGGCTTATGAGGTATTTCAGTCTAGCTTTTGTTTAGCTCATAGCACAGGGTCACAGCTCTGGTCTGGGTCAAAATGACCTTCTAATGGACAACTGATGCTGGTTCTCCCTCTCTACTGATCCTCCTAGACTTGAGCGCAGCTTTACAGACTGTGGACTAGGGGTTGAACGAGTATATAATTTTTAAACTCGACATTAACATAATAAAGCCCGAGTAGAACTCGAGTATTTGATGACGTCATAGATATCAAGATACAAATTTCAATAAATAAATAAATCTGCAAAAAAGGTAATTATTTACCAAAAAAACGACCAACAAAACATTGGGAGCGTAACTTATGCTCCTACCATTTATCATACTGCAAATAAGTCACAGGAAAAACTAAACTATTAGTTATTATTATTAAACTGCAAACGTGAAGAAACGTGCAGCATGTCAAAAACGAAACTTAAACCGAAACTGGTTCTGGTTCGGTGGATTGGACCCAGTGTGACCTGCAACAGTGCAACACCGCTCCCTACGGTCATACGGTGGTCACATAATATGGCGTCACTACGGATACTCGACGTAACATTTTTAACCTCGATTGATGTCCTAGCAATCGATGTGTAGATTACTCGAGTACTCTGTTAATGCCCTATGTGGATCATGGCATCTTCCTCCACCAGCTTCAGCAATCTGCAAGATCAACTGAGACAGCTCTGAAATGGTTCTGCTCGTACCTCTCTGACCTATCTGAGTATGTCACCATCAGAGAAGTAAGATCCCCAGACTCTCACAGTCATCTGTGGCATCCCTCAGGGATCAGTCTTTGGGCCCACCCTGTTTACCTGATACTTCCTCGCCCTCAGTCACATTATCACTCACCACAGGAATAATTTTCATTGTTATGCAGACAACATGCAGCTCTAGTGTATATCAAAACCGGTTTTGAAAGTTTATCACCATCATTCTCCACTCTCACCTCCTGTTTTGAGGAAGTAAAAACCTGGATGAATGATAATTTTCTCCAATTAACCATGTCAAAAACAAAAACAATGCTTTGCATCAGATTCACTCATCATCCATCTCTACTACAATGTTTTCTGGCCATAACATTCTCCTTCTCTATACAATGACTAAACCTAGTGTAAAATTTGACTCTCATCTTACATTTAAATCTTACATTTAAATCTCACATCAAACACCACTGCAAGACTTCCTTCTTTTATCTCAGGAAAATCTCCAAACTCTGACCATTACGCTCCTTTTCCAATGCTAAAAATCTTGTTCATGCTTTCATCTCAAGACTTGAGTACTTCATCGCACTTTTTTACGTAACTCCATCCAAACATATTCAAAAACTTCAGTATGTACAGAACAGCGCAGCTCAGATCCTGATGAAGCAAAGGAACCATGACCACATCATCACAATCCAATCTCTCCACTGGCTTCCCACTTCACTCCACATCGAATATAGGGTTTCCTTACTCTCCCACCAATTCATCCATGGCAATGCTCCATACTACCTCAAAGAATTATTTACTGGCTGGCTGCACAGAAAACTGTTGGAGTAAGCCTCCCACCATCACAGACATCTACACCTCCAGATGCAGGAAGAGGGCCACCTGCAGCATGAAGGACCCCACTCACCCAGCACACACACTTTTTGCTCCACTCCCCTCAGGCAGGAGGTTAAAAAGCATTAAATGTAGAACTACTAGACTGAGGAACAGCTTCTACCCTGAAGCTGTTTGGCTCATAAAACCCTAACCAGGATAATCACTGTAATAATTTTTTTAATCGCTGTAATGCCACTTTTAATTGGGGATATGCAACTTATCTGTCTGTGCTGCTGATTATCCATGCTGATCTCATGCTGCTGATCATCTCATGCTTCTGTATTTATTCATACCCATCTGCTAACCAGACTCATGTTCGAGCTGATGTTACGCCGTGTTGTTTTACATTATTATCGTTTAGCATATATCTTAGATCTTTTAGTGTACCGTTTGGCATTTGTTTAGCGTATAGCTTGGTGTATATCTTAGATGCTTATCTACTGTTTCTTTTTATATTTTTGCTAAATTTGGGCTCTGTGACTGTGTACATAATTTTGTTCCACCTCATGTACCACATGTGATGGAAATGACAATAAAATTGACTTGAACTTGAAATTACTGCTCAGACCTCAACATGATCCCTCCGCTCCACAAATTCCTACCGGTTCCACCTCCCCAGACAAAACTGCACACCATGGGCGACAGGGCCTTTGTCAGCTCTGCTGCATCTTGCCTGTGGAACACCCTACCCGGCCAACTAAGGATACCCCAGAATCAAAAATTTTAAGAAAGGACTGAAGACATTCCTATTTGAAAGACTGTATTGTGTTTAAATGTGTAATTTTTAATTCTGTTGTTTTTAGTTCTTCCTCTGTTTCTCTAGCCATTTTATACTGTAGCACTTTGAGATTGAAAAATGTAACTGCAGTACAAATTTAATAAGTTATTATTATTATTTGCCAGATAGCTGATGCATAATTTATTACTTTCGTTCCAACAAAAACTGCTCAAGTTTCTTGAAGGTCCAAATAATTTTTTTCAGCAAACTGTTGTTAGTTTACGTTTTTACTACCTACATTTAAAGAAAAACATACGGTAACAGATTCCTAAATACATTCTTTTCCACCTGCAAAATGTGGAAATAATAACGACAATTTATTATTATGCAGAAACAAACTCAATCTCTTGTGTAGACTAAAGGCTTATTACTAATTATTAAGTACAATGTAACCTAATATGAATATATTAATAATTCTAACGACTGAAAAAGTTTAAACATTTGATGAGTTTCATGGCGATTTCTATAAGTATGTAGAATTTATAACAATAAAGTTAAGAATGACAACTTTTCACATCATTCTATATTAATTCTGGAAATTATTTATCCCCAAATTATGAATTTTAAAACACTGTAACCTTCCAGTTGTTTATACCACTACTGAATGCTCTTGAAGTCCTTTGAAAACTCCTTTAAAGCGATTTTAGAAGAATCTGTCCAGATGACCTTCATGTTTGAACTTACATCAGGATTTTAGTCTAAATTGTTTGAGTTAACATAAATCTTTTTTTATTTTAACACTTAATAGAACTTGTTTTTGTAAAAGGTTTAGGGGAAAAAAAAAATATCAACCCACAAGACAAATTCTACAAACATCTGCACTGAATAGTTTTTGTTAGCCTCCAACATCACAAAATGTCTACATAAAATCCTTAGGGTTCATATTAGTACTTGCATTAACACTGGGGTTATAATACTAGTTTTTATTCATGGGGCAGCTGTGGCTGAGCAGTTACAGCAGCTGTCCTCCATTGCGAGAGTTGGGAGTTCCAAGTCCACCAGCAGTCACATGCTAGTGTGTCCCTGAGCAAGACACTGGACCCCTCCTTGCCTCCGATGTGTGTCCCAGCAGTGTATGGATGTGATCTAAAGCACTGATTAGTCTTTGTACAGATCTAGTAGAGCGCAGTATGAATGAGTAAATGAGGGCACAGATTGTAGTGTAAAGCACTTTGAGTACTGGTACCTTAAAATAAAAAGGCGCTATACAAGAGTACAGTCATTTACCATTTGTATTTTGGATTTTTATCCAAGTTGGATTTGTTGTTCGCAGTTTTTGCACTTTAGAATAGTGTGTGTACTTGTATCAAGACTGACACCATTAAACAGAGTTAAATAAACCAAGATATCAGTGGAGTCACAAAAACATTAGTGTAGAAATGTTTACATTAGTCACGGATACAAGGATTTTACTTGAGTGTACATGAACAATGTCTAAACCACTGAACTGGGTTATGGTAATGTGTCCACATCACGTACCTATATGATGAGGGTGTTTAAGGTTGAAGAGAGCAGACCTGTCTTTCTTCCATAAACTCTCCTCTTCCTCATGCTGGTGCTCATACATTTTCCCCAAGTTGTTGCCTTGCGGTGTTGTCCTCTCAAACCACATCTGCCGCAGAAACACGTACAGCGTGAAGGTTCCCACCACAAAACCCGCATAAAAGAAAAATCTGGATCCCAGGGCCTTCATGCTGGACCAGGTCTCGGTTGTTCAGTTCGTCTGGAGCTGAACGGGACACGAGAAAAGAAGGAGCATGGACGTTAAGTTTCTAACCGCGAGGAGTTTTAGCTGAAAGTGAGGAGGAAAAGTGTCTGTTCGTCACTCCCCGTTTTTAGGTGTGGTTTACGCTCCAGTGTTAATGTATACACCATAGCAGCTAAAGGTCTTGAGACGCAGCCTGTCCTCTTTAATAATAATAATAAAAACAATACTACAAAAACAGTTCAGCTAGCCATGATGAAGCTAAAGTTCATACCCAGCGCGTGCCAGAAGGAGCGAGCTAACCAAAACGCTGACCGCATAAATTCCCAAACAGCAAAATGTCACATTTTACAAACAAATCCTGTCCAGTTAATCATTTACTCCTGACCCTGCTGTCTGTTTTCTCCTGCTGCGGCCGCAAGCTAACAGGCTAATCCGTTATCATATTCTGATCAACGTCGGCGCTGCTAACTTCATTTAGCCCTTCTGTCGCAGCTACACGGCTAAAACGTCACAGGCTGACTGACACCACAGCTCCGTAGTTCCGTCACACACACAAAAATATTAAAATAAAAACGATTAAAAACTAATGGGAAATCGTTCAACACACCGCTACGTGAACTACATTTACAACTTGTGTGACTGTCTGACGACTTCCGCCACGCACACGCACAATACAGTACTTCCGGTCAAACCAGTCAGTCCTGTTAACAGAGATAAGACAACTAGTGTGTAAATAATATATATTTTTGGAAATCTTAAGAAAGACTCCTTAAAGTGTGGTAGCTATTGTTGTCGCAATGACCCCTTAAGTCAGGATCAGTCAATTCCGTTTTTAAAAGACACCAGGATCTTTCTGGAAAAGCATTAAACATGTTTTGCAACAGTATAAAGTACTAAATATTTTATTAATTGTATAAGTGGTTAAAACGCTGACAGTCTCATAAATCTCTGTATCTTATAAGCCCAAAGGTGCAGTTTTCAATACTGCAAGAGTTTGTCAACCTATTTCTAAAGTAAATTTAAGCAACACAACCTTCTAACATAAAAGTCATTATTCAGGTCAAAGGTCAAATTTGTACATGGATGATACTGGATCCCCAAGGTCTGACTAAAAAGTTATCTCTGCCCTTTGCCCATAAATTATCTGAGTTAATTGTAGTTTATGTGATCGTATTATTGGATTGTCTCCGTTTGTTGTGTTTTGATCATAGTACAGAACAAGGGGCAAACGTAAGTACTGGAGTGGTTGCAGTAACAGCATAACCCAAGACGGACTTTTTAGAACTGATTTAAGGCGTAGCATTCCTTGAAGGAATGCCACCAGCCGACTTTCATGCCAGAGATTTAAACTAAGGTCAGATACGTGACCAAATTATAAACAGTTTGGTCAAACCTGCCAGCATTTCTGTAATTACAGGTTGCTTTACTCCTAAGCAAGAAAAATGTCGTAACTGGGTCCGTTTCTCAAACTCATGTTTTTACGACGTAATCTAAGAAATCTAGCTCTGTGACACATTAAACACACAGTCAGTGAACTTTATAGTACCTGGTCAGACACATCCTTAATTAGGAAGCCTTATTCAATTAATAAACACATCCTTGTTGTTTGAACGTTCCCATTGTGTATTAAACTGTATGACTGTGCCGATATGCAACAAAAATTCAACATATTATGACATTATGTAGATACTGAGCTCCAAAAGGCTGACATATTCACAAACTGTACAAATTCAGCCCTTTAAATGCACATCTGAAGGGGTTTGTGAGCGGTCATTCATTTGGTACACTCAATATTCACAATACAGTTTTTCTTTTATTAAATTAAGGTAAATTAAAGTGTTTCCTCTAAAATTAAACACACTTAAAAGACAGGATTTCCTTGCAGCTTTTAAACAAAAAGAAAAAAAAAATCTTAAAAACAAAACATGAACTTCTAAATGTACAGGATCTTCACAAAAGAAGTGCATCACTCTGTGCACAGATAATTGTTTAATCTATAGTTGTTTGCGCTTGTAACTTTTTTTTCCCACAAAACAAAATACAAATCAGCTTCAAAGGCCAGTTAGGACTGGAATGTAAAGATTTCAGCATTTGTTCTTTGTTTTTCTTTTGCACACACGGCGCGTTTCACTGAAGCCATTATTCCATCTGTTGAGGTACAAAAGTCACCCTCTGAGCCACTTGCAGGATTTTAATGTCACTTCACTCAACAACAACTGACTTGCTGTGGTGTCATCGTGCAACATGTGAGGGTTGTCCATCGAAAACACAGACAATATTGCCTTTTCAAGAGCGATTAATGAATTTTCTGAATGTGCAAACAGCAGATTTAACCAAGTTTAACAGCAATAACAGAGTCAAGTGGGCTCCTTAACAAAACCGTGACAAAAATGTCATTGTCCTTCTCCCTGCTGGTTTCCACAGGAGTTCACGTCACAGCAGGGGTTCTGAGTGTTGAGTGAGCTCAAATGTCCACATCGTCGGAGTCAGATGTGCTGGATGACTGGGTATCCTCCTGGTTTTCTCCCCACACAAACCTATAGTTGTTTTCCAACTCCTGCTGCCTCTTTTGCTCTTTGTAAACCTCCTCAGTGCCTCCGGTCTGTGTGGTGTAAAAAAATAAAAAGTCTCAAACACGTTTTTGTCAATTTAATGTCATTTGACTTATTCAAACAGTTTCCTAAAAGAAGCTCACAACTGTTTAATCTTCTTGGGGACACTACAATACATTTCTTTGGCCTTCACCCTGAGCATCATAGATAAATGATTAGTCCTATCCAAACTTATTTTCACCTCTGATCCTTAAACCCAAGTCTTTATTAGACATTTATTATGATAATAACTCTTTATTATTAATTCATTTCTTGTGGTCTATGGAAAGTCTTAAGACAAGAAAAAAATCTTTATTGTTGCAGCATTGATGCACAAACAAGGTCAGCACAGACAAAACAAGTCGTTTTGACCAATTAAAAAATATATAAAAAAGATCAACATCATCAGCTTTGGAGGTCCGAGCCAGTCAATGGCACTGAAAACAATGCACTGATGGAAAAGCAAACAAAATAAAATCTGGAGGAAAATTATCAGCCAGTTGATAATCACAAATGTAAGCGTATTCTTTTTTTTAAAAGTGCTTTCATAACAAACATCACACTATATGGAGTCAGAGCTTACTGAAGGAGCTAAAATGCTCAGGAGAAAACCTGAAAATATCTCAGAATTTAAAGTGATCTCCTGAAATGGGTGGCAAGAAAAAAAAAAATCTTAATTCAGATAGAGGTTTACTTTACTGAGCGGTGAGAAACCGCTATGTTTGTTTTGTCTGTGTAACCATTTGTCTACCAGATAGAGTACGGGAGTCCTGTTTGTGTAGATGAAGTGCAAATTTACTTCACCGGACACTTCAAATATTTTGTTTTTATAGATTTACAAATGTAAGATGCATATTACAACTTCAAAAGTTAATGGATTTTTATTTATAAAGCAAAACAAAAACTACTTCAATAATGTTTAACTGAACGAATCCTACAGTCAACTTATATTTCTTTATACATTAACTGGTAGCTGTTCTGCAAAATAAAATTCAGGCCCTGTTAAGACAACAACAATCCTATGAGTGCGCATGCGTTAAAAAAAATCAACGTTCTACCTGAAAGCCTCTACAACGGTCAAGATGGCAGAGTATAAAATATTTCTATGAACAGACGACGAGGTTCAGCTGTTGAAGAACTGTAGTTAGAAGCACAAACTATACTCTGGTATCCGCCATTATTGATAGTTTCTTCTTCAGTGGATTGTAGGAAGCGGTTACGTTTTGCGTCATACTGCGCGTGCGCCAAGGATTATCTGACAGAAAATATATATTTTTTTCTTCTGTTTACGCAACAACAGACACTGGGATGTTTTTGAAACATTGCACTCTGGAGCCCGATCTCAAATTGTGCCGTTGTCAGAGAAAATATTCGCTATTTTCGTGTAAATGAACAGTGCAAACACAACAACACTCTTCCATTTTCACCAGAAATTGCTTTCATGTAAACAGGGTCTCAGTGATGCTTCTTCTAATATATCCTCGTTAGGTGTAAGAATTGTCACGTAGAGCATATTTATGTTTACAGTTCAAGGTTAGGTCACACTGCTTTTCTGGTTATACAGCTCTACAGTTTTTAACAAGCCTGGTGTCCTTGTTCCCTTCTGCTGATAAGGTTATTTTAAAAGACTGGCTTATAATTTTAAGTTAGACACATTCTACTGCTTGCAATTGTCTCAAACATGGGAATTGCTGCTCGACATTTTCTTTGTAATAAGTTGATAAAAATCAACCAGCCGTTTTTGTTCTGTCTCACTTATCTTTGCTGCCATGACAGTAATTTGAATTCATTATTGTGCAAGTGGAGAGATGAACAGTAGCACAGTTAATTGTTACACGGCTGATTTTACTAAATCAACTCTACGGCTGAAACTACAGCTATTGCAACAAACCGTGTTTATTTCACACCTGGAAGAAGTCAAACAGTATCAATAAAAAAAGTTATTCTGAGGACTGAAATTACCAGGAGGTTTATGAGCAACTCCCTGAAGGACTTTGTATCTTCCTCAGTCAGCCACTGGTCACCCGTCTCTTCTGCATTCTTTCGTGTCAAGATCTTCACCTCAATTTTACCTAAAATCAGAATAAAGAGAGAGTGTAGACAGTTAAATGCATGAACACTGTGGCTAAAGAGTAGCCAAATTGAATTCTAGTTTAATTAGAATGAAGGAAATGGAGGAGTGCATGAAAGAGGATGAAAAAGAGCATGAATGGAAAAAAACCTTAATTTCCATTTAAATTTAAAACAAGTTCCAGCTTCACAGGACCAAATTGGCAGATTATTTTTTTCTTAAATGTGAAGGATTTTGAAAAAAAATATATAAATGTGTATATACTTATTGATAAGATGGAAGAATAAAACAGTATTTTATGCTCAAGATAGGAGATGGAAAAGAGAAAAGGCCGTCAAGTATTGCAGAACTTGCCCTTCATACCTTCGGCCTTTAGTCCTGCCTTCTCTAGCTGTTCTTTAACCACGTCCTTTATGTGCTGCCACTGGGGGTCTCCTTCTCCCATCTCCTGAACCCTGACCTCCCCATCAGGGCCGCTGCCTGTCTTATATTTAGTAATTTTGATCTTAACGTGGTCGTCAGCTGCTTGTTCTGAGGCGACGAGACAAAAGAGGGACAACAGAGATAATTCACCTCAAAGCCCATCGGCAGGGTCACAGGATGGATGCCATAAGTGCTAAGAGCCACCAAAAATGCCTTTGGTTAATATTTTCAGTTCTGCACTGTGATAAATGTGGTTATTTGATTTGTATTGACTTTCATTTTGGTTTATTTTGATTCAAATAAAGTCACCCACCGGTACCACAAAGGCAGCAAATACCACCAACTAATTAAGTCTTAACATTTCTTTTTTTTTTTGCATCAAATTGTATGTTTTGTACTGTTTTTACATGAGTAATGTCAGAGAAAAACGTTTATGATGACCGTGACCAACATGTGAACATGGCACAGAGTGAATGGCGCATGATGACAGGAAGGCAGGTGTTATGTTCCTTCATTGTTACCTGGTTGCTTGGGAGCCAGACTGGGGCTTCCTCTGCTCGGGTCCCTGCCTCTTTCGGCTGTTTGCTGTTGTGGGTCTTGAACATCTTTCTCCTCGAGATGATCAAGCAGCTTATCCAGTGTTGTCTCCAGTGTTTGTGTTGCCTGAGTTCGATCAAACTCCCCTTTCAGGCCTTCTGTTTCCAATTCCTGCTGAGCCTGAAACACAAACAGGAGCTGGTGTTAACATTACACGCTGTTCCGTTGATTTAACAATAAATCTGATTTATAGACGATCATTTTCAGAAACCTCATCGATGATGTTGTCAAACTCCTTTTGCATTTCCTCCTTTATCTCTTCGATCTTCTCAGAAGGCACGGAGAAGTCAGCGATCTCGTCTTCAAATCCCTCTAACATCTGCTCCTCTTCGTCTTTCTCGTCCCCTCTGAGCTTCTCTGTCTGCGTGTCGCTTCTTGCTTTCTCTTCTCTACTTTTAGCTTCACTTTGTGCTTTCTAAAACATTACAAGTAAATAAGTAAAAGACAAAATGTTTGAAATACCTAAAAAGAAAAAGAAAAAAAAAACGGACCTTCCTGTTGCTTTCCTTTAGATGTTCAACAAATTTCATCAGATCTGCTGGGTCTGTGATGATTTTAAAGTTGAATCTTTCCACTAGAGGGGAACAGTAAATGCATGAGACATGTGACAGCAGAGAGTTTATACTAAATGTGTAGTTTTAGAAGCAGGATATTGGCACAGAAATCAAAGTTCTGTTGTAAGCAATGACTTGAATTGTACTCTTCTTCATTCTGTGCACTAAAGCACTACCTTCATCTGCATCATGGTCTGTTGGTGAGGTATAGTCTCCATCTGTTACCTGTCAAGAACAGAAAAATCTAATTAGGATGTAAAATGGAAAAGGAAACGTGACCAACTGCACTCTCTAGTGGAAAACAGGCTTCTGAGTGAAAATAATTTTTCTTATTCAATTCAGTTTAATTCAGTTTATTTATATAGTGCCAAGTCACAACAGAACAGACACTGAACAGAAACATTCATATAAAAAAACAAAAAAACAAGTTAACATCAGAGGAGCAGACTGCTTGAGTTCAACTTAATCTCATCTTGAGCACCACAAAGGCAAAAGTGGAAAGGAAAAACTCCCTCATGAGGAAGAAACCTTTAGCAGAACCAGGCTCAGGACAAGCGGCCATCTGCTTCGACCGGCTGGGTTTGTAGGAACAGATAAACAATGGCAGGTCAAGAATCACGTGTTAAGATATAAATAGTATCAAATGAAAACTATTCAAGCAGAATATTTCATGAACCAGTGGACGAATTGAACAGTCAGCAACCACTGGGTCTACAACTAAATAACTTTTGGAGTTAACCCAAACCAAGATAGCCACCACAGCTAAACAACCATAGGAAACACATACCGGTAGTTTTTTTAGTAAATAAATATGTACTCTATGTGAATAAATGGTAAATAACTTTTCAGTAGGACTTAGTTTTTAATGAGGAGGAATTTTTGTCCACTTCAGTTGCTCAAGATCACTGAGGTCTGCAAGCTTCAGAATATGCACGACACAGTTTTAGCACTGTCTCGAATGTTTCCTGTTTCTGAATCTTCTTTCTCAGAGTGATTGCTGGAAAATGAGCTCAGAATGAAGGAAAGCAACACACCTGAAAGTTTCAGACATGACAGAAAGTTTGCATTTACTGAGGTGCAAAAACTTACTGATGGTCAATCAATGTGAATTTAAAATACATTTAAAAGACATTTAAAGATTTTTTTTAAAGACACGACTTAGGACAAATGATGATCATTCTTTTTTCCGTGACTTTATATTTCAGTACCTCGTTGTCTTGTTGAGAGGCTGTTTCTTTTGAATTCCCAGGCCTCGACACTCCCTCCCAGAAGTCAGAGTCCTCCGCCTCTTCTGATGCTGTATTTATCAATATTTCAGCTGTTTCTCCTTAAAAACAAACAATGCAGACATAAAGGCATGCCACAAAGCTTAAATACTCACACCAGCTATCATGGAAATCAAATGTCGAAGTACAGATGAAATGGAAAAAATAGCATTTTATGTGAAAGTGCATTGTGACTGATGTGTGCTGAATAATTTTGCTGGAATTTGTTGGAGAAACTGAATTGTTAAAGTTAAAATAATCAAAACTGAGGCTAAAATGACCAAAACACAAGCTTACAGTAACTTAGCACAACAGTGATAAGCTAAAATGAGCAGAACAGCAGTAAAAAATTTAAAGTAACAAAACACTGTAGTAGCTAAAATCTCATTGAATCTTAGGAAGACAAAAATAGAACAGTTAAGATAAAGATTTTAACATTTTCTTTTTGAAGGATTTGAAGCAATTTCAATGTATTTCTATGGAGAAAATGTTATTAAATAAAGTCAAATCGTTTGAAAAGTTACGAAAACCAAAAGTCAGTATATCATTTCAAATTGAGCTGAATGTTGTGATGTACAGTGCATCTGGAAATTATTCATATTTTATGTTACAGCCTTATTCCAAACTGTATTAATCTCATTCCACAATATTCTACAGATAATACCTTATTATGACAATGTGAAAAAATATTTTTTGAGATTTGTGCAAATGTATTAAAAATAGAAAACTAAGAAGTCACATTTACGTAAGTATTCACAGCCTTTGTCATGATGCTCTAAATTGAGCTCAGACCGTTTCCTTTGAGATGTTTCTGCAACTTAAATGGAGTCCACCTGTGGTAAACTCAATCGACTGGACTTGATTTGGAAAGTCACACACCTGTCCAACATAAGGTCCCACAGTTGACTGTGCATGTCAGATCACAAGCACCAAACACAAAGTCAAAGGAATTGTCTACAGACCTCAGAGACAGGATTGTGTTGAGGCACAATTCTGGGGAAGCATACAGAAAAACTTCTGCTGCTTTGAAGGTCCCAATGAGCAGAGTGACCTCCATCATTCGTAAATGGAAGAAGTTTGGAACCACCAGAACTCTTCCTAGAGCCGACCGTCTAAACTGCGCGATCGAGGGAGAAGGTTCTTAGTCAGGGAGGTGACCAAGAACCTGATGGTCACTCTGTCAGAGCTCCAGCATGTGGAGAGGAGAATCTTCCAGAAGGACAACCATCTCTGCAGCAATCAGGCCTGTATGGTAGAGTGGCCAGATGAAAGCCACTCTTTAACAAAAGGCACATGGCAGCCCGTCTGGAGTTTAACAAAAGGCACCTGAAGTACTCTCAAACCATGAGAAACTAAATTCTCTGGTCTGATGAGACAAAGATTGAACTCTTTGGTGTGAATGCCAGGAGTCATGTTTGTAGGAAACCAGTCACCAGGCTGATACCATCCCTACAGTGAAGCATGGTGGTAGCAGCATCATGCTATGGGAATGTTTTTCAGCAGCAAGAACGGGCAGACCAGTCAGGATAGAGGGAAAGATGAAAGCAGCAATGTACAAACACATCCTGCATGAAAACCTGCTCCAGGGCGCTCTTGACCTCAAACTGGGGCGACGGTTCATTTTTCAGCAGGACAACAACCCAAAGCGCATGACCCAGATCTCAAAGGAGTGGCTTCAGGAGCACTCTGTGAAGGTCCTGGAGTGGCCAAGTCAGAGTCCAGACTTGAATCAAATTGAACATCTCTGGAGATAATCTAAAAATGGCTGCACAGACGTCTCCCGTCCAACCTGATGAAGGTTGAGAAGTACTGCAAAGAAGAATGGGACAAACTGCCTAAAGACATCTGTGCTAAGCTTGAAGCATCATATTCAAAAAGACTTGAGGCTGGAATAGTTTCCAAAGCTGGAAAGTATTAAGCAAAGGCTGTGAATACTTATGTAAATGTGTCTTCTTCCGTTTCCTATTTTTAATAAATTTGCAAAAATCTCAATCTTTTTTCACATTGTCATAATGGGGTATTGTGTGTAGTATTTTGAGGAAAGAGATTAATTTAATACAATTTGGAATAAGGCTGTAACATAAAATGTGGAAACAGTGAAGCACTGTGAATGCTTTCTGGATTCACTGTATGTATAGTTAAAATAGCAGAAAGTATACTGAAGTATTTTGATTTTAAAAAAGCCAAGAAAGAAACAGTAAACAGGTTAACAATGGTGTGATTTCTGACTCTGCGATCAGACAATACCTACAGATAATTCAAGTTTATTATCAAAAGGCACCTTTTCTATCTGATGGGTTATGATCAGTGCTGGGTGGAGGTGAGATTTCCTCTGCTGTTACTTCCACTGCTTCCCCCGTCTCTTCATTACCAGCTAACATCTCATCAAGGGTCTTCAGCTCCTCTGAGAGCTGCTCTACTTTACGTTTTGTGTCGGCTGGGAACAGACAGATACAGATTGGAAGGAGAGACAAAGAAAAAAGAAAAGCTGACATTTTTTTTATGGAACAAAACAGCAGATTTCCACATCATAAACTAGTTTTGTGCATATAACACAGTTCCAGTTACCAAAGAAACATATTTGTTTGTTTCTATTTCTTTTATGTAACATTACTGTCACACTTTAAAGTGCTTCTTTCTCAACATCTGACTCTGCGTCAACAGATATCACAAGATTTAGACAGTGGGGTGCTTTCAGAACACTGTAAACTTTATGTAAATGTAAACTTACATTTACATAATAAATGTAAAAATGTAAACAATGTAAACTTTAAACTCACAAACTTGAGCCTTGACGTAATCCATGTACTGTTGGGCACTTAGCACAGGCTGACACACTATACCCTGTGGCTTGGCAGTGGATGGGGGCCGCAGGAAGGGATGCTGGCAGGTACGACTGGTGTGAATCGTCAACACATAACGACATGACTGAGGTTCATCGACCCGAGCGATGTAGTCACTCGAGCCTTCTTCACACACAAACTGGAAAAAATTAAGTAAAAAAAAAAAAAAATCTCAGCATGTTTATAAAATAAAGGTATTAACAAATGCACAAAACCATTTTACTGCTATTAATGAGTCCAAAGTTTTACACAGAAATTAAGGAATTTGAAGAAGCAACAAAACTTTAAAAAAAAAAACCAACATAGACAGTTTTCAAATCCTGCGGATTTAAACATCTCACCCGGACTTCGGTCTCTCTTGGATTTCCATTGAGGTCACACTTAGAGCCATTTACATATGTCTGGCTGTGGTATCGTTTCAGCTTGTGCTGTTTGGAGGCCTGCAACGTAAATCAAAACAATGCTTTCATTAAAGTGTTTTTTTCTATTTTTAAACAATTGCATATTGCTGCTTTGTGTTTTACAGCTACTAAAATAACATAATGCAATAAAATAGAAAAGCTGCATTGAGTACATTCAGTAAAATCATTGTCAGAGCACATATACACTTGGATGAACTTTACCTTTGCTGTTTCATTGGTCCAATCAAATTCTGACTCATAATACCCAAGAAAAAGGACGTTTCCTTTAATTTCTGATTCTAAAAAACAAAACAAATCTCTGTCACAAATAAGTCCTAAAGAAAATAGAGCTGTTGAATTTGTTATAAAAGTTTGGTTTGACTTGTCAAATGAAAACATGAATAAAAAAAAGAATCAGAAAAATATATTTTTACCTTCTAGGTGATACTGTCTAATATATTGACCATGACAAAACTCATATGTCCACCAGTCCTTTGTCTGCAAAGACAACAAACCACCTATCAGTTCACACAACTTGCCTAAAATGAGTCATTTGTCTAAAAATATATAAGAAGCCAATATTTTTTTTACTAATAATCTCAATGTGTGGCACAGGTTGCAAAAAAAAAAGCTCTTAATTAGCTTAAGCTTTTAACAAAGGGATTAAAAAACAGAGAGACAGACAAGCAGGGGACCAACCTTAACTAGACATTGGGCTTCGTGCATTGGTCTGAGCAGGTCTGGGATGTCTGGTCCAGCGTAGTCCTCGGAGTCCGGTTCTGAAGCTGGATCCTGGTGAAACCTGACTGCCTGGGCTGGAAGCCGACACTCATAAAGCTGCTTGTACTTGTTGGACACCATCATGACCTCCTCTGTCTTAGTCTAAAAAATGAAGAATGTGATGAAAACCCAAGAAGTCCATGTAAACTGTGTCAGTGACATTTAATGGCTGCACATACATGTGGAGTTAAAAGCCCGATGTTATACGAATAATCAGCTGTTTGTACTTTAAATGACAAAATAATAAAGTGAGAAATGTTTTGTTGACATTGTTGACAGCTGTCACATTTTATGTCGTAAACAACTTCTGCCTTTTACCACACCGAGTTTTATACCATTGGATCAGGTTTTAAGTACTTTGCAATGTCACAACATATATGTTACTCCAAGTTTTATTTAAAAAAATAAGCTTATACGAAGATATAAGTCGATAGCAAACTGTGTAACCAACACTTTAGCTAACAAGCTACACATTAGCGCCTAAAAAAGCCCTGACTCACCTGCCCCATGATGACGGGGTCAGGAAGAATTTGAATCCCGTATTTCATTTCATTCAGCTCTTCCAAATTCAAGAAGGCTGGGACACACAGGGGACATATCAACACAAAAAGGCACAGCCTCTTAAGCCACCGCACCGAGGAGCTAGCCATCGCTAACCCTCTTTGCTTTCACCTCAACAAAGCGCTGTACTAGCAACAAAACAGAACGTCTGACATGGTGGACGCGGATTGGTCGGTATGAGAAACTCTACTCTCTCATTGGTCAATTTTTGTGTCCGTCAATCGTTTGTCAATTTTAGGGTATGTTGGTTTGTAATGTATAAGGACAGATTAGGTGGGCGGCATAAATCGAACAGAATATGAACAACGTTCTTACGGGCTGTTGGCGTTTATTTCACCTAAAAACAAACGCACCCTCAAACCGAACAAATCTCTTTGGGGTGGTCAAATGAGGCGTGTCACAATCCAATTTAAATTCATCGCTAATCATTTTTAATCGTTTTAAATGTTGAATCAGTAGTTTATTGTCTTTCACAGTGTTTTATTTTTTAAACAATATTTAAAATAAACAAATAACATAAAAAATATCCTTCCTATTGCTCTTTTTAAGGGCTCAACTTGTTTACTGGAATAAGAATGGGGCGTACATTATTGTGGACAACAGTGAATGCGCGCAGACGCCCACTCCCATCTGAGATAAAACAAGCAGGTCATGATGCCTGGATAAATAAAGCCCCACTGGCTCTTGTTTTTTTATAGCATAAAAAAATCAAATAAGCGTGGTTTGCTGCAGCTGTGCACGGTAACACCGGGTCCCCGGTCGATTTGAAGGTGCGCTGCAGCCGCTGCTGCTGCAGGGGGAGCTTCGGTCCGCCGCGCTGCGCTGCGATGTGCGTCCGCCTTTACATTTGCCTCTTCTCCTCTTTTTCTCTCCGTCTAATCCCATTCGTAAGGTGCCTGAGGAGGAACATATTCACCAAGGAGTTGCTTGCAGGAGGGAGGTGACACAGCTCGTCTTAAAAAGAGGTGAGCTGTCTGCTCATGTGCTTTTTCTATAATAAGCCATGGTTTTAAAATGGAAAAAGGGGGGGCCTGTTCTTAGCAAGGCATTTTCCTCGGGATTTCTTGCAGTTTATTTGCTTAACAAGACACGAGGAAATAAATGTATTATTTTTACAGCATGAGATTTGGATTAAATGTCTAAATGAGGATATAACGGTTTTCCTCATCATTAGAGGCGTTCGACCGCTAATCAGGTTTTAAATGGATGCTTCCTCCTGCAGTGTTCTTCACTGTAAGGTAGGATGATGGGCCTGGCATTTCAGCACCCTGCTTTTTTCCTGATAGCTAGAGAGAGGATTGCAAATTGTCCACATTTATAATTTAGGAAAGTGCGGAGGATGTGGGATGATAATCCAGAATTTAGATTCTGAAAAGACGCAAATGAGCAAATGAGACCAGTTTTCTCATTGGGAGGAACCCATCCAAAGCAGGCTCCTTTTTTTTTTGTGGGGGTGGTGTTGGGTAAGTTTCCACTTATAGCTTTTATTATCTGTCTGTTACTGTCTAAGACTTTTCTGGATATAAAGAAATAAATCCAAGGCTGTAAGAGTGGTTTAAAAAGTCAATTATTTCTGTTTTTTTCTTTCTCATTTAAAATAACATTATGTATTAGTTTAGTTTCATGATAGCCTACCTTGGAGATAGTCAGTTATGATAACACGCTGCTGTTAGAATAAAGTGAAGACAGTCAGATTAACAGAACGTTTTCAGATCATTTTTTCAGCGACCATTAGACAAGTGCCCACATCTCTCTTGTTTTTCAGCCCAAAAAGACAAACTGTGCACTATACCAAGAAGGATTTTTATGGATATTTAATTTTGAACAGCAGAGTTGTGCAGATATTGATTAAATATAATATAAAGATAGATGAAGATTGGACTTTTCTATTTGCATCTGGACGCAGAAGGTTTGTTTTCATCAAACCCAGTAGGATTTACTGGGAGGCTTGACTCAAGCAGCTAATGAAGCCCTGAAAGGACATAATTGTTGTTTTGTTTTTTTACATTGACCTGGACACAGTTGTTCAGAATGTGTATCTAATAAACCAGAAAACAAATTTTAATGAAACTCAGGGAGCAATCACTGGACCTCTACAACCGATTAACGCTGCACATTTATTCTCATGGGACAGAGCTCTGCTTTTATATCCATTCTGCTCTTCTAGTCACATTTTAATGAGTTTTATTTTCTTGTTTGCAGATGGGGCAGAAGCTTGCACGTTCCTGTTACTGTCGACTTTGTTTCTGGAGATGTGGGTGTCAAAAGTTGTCGTTGCCCTTTCACTGACTGGATAAAGCCAGTGAGCGATAACACCTGGACTCATGGGTGAGGCTTGCTGCTTAAGAACGTTTGATTTGTTTAACAGATTTTAACTAAATTTGCAATCTGCAGCATTTGGTGCGTACAGAACAGACCCAACATGGAGCTAATGCAAGGTCGATTATTTTCCATGTTCTATCTTCATTTTTTGTGGAACAATAACATCTGATGCTTACACTTCTGATGATGTCTCACATGTTTTAGCTTTATTTTCACACAAAAACGATTTAGTATTTGTAACTGCAGTTCGTTTTAAGTGTCATTCTTCGAGCAGAAACTTCAGAAAAATCATTCATCCGTTTATGTGCGCTCCTACTTTTCGTCCTTTCCGATAAGGGAGAACCGCTGCCGTCTTTTCCTTGTAACCCTAATGTCTCTTAACGTGAGCGATTCAAACACGCAAACAGCCACAAACACAAATAAGTCTGTGAAGGGTTGTCGTGTTTGTCACGTTTGAAGGAGAAAGAACATTTTTGAAAAGGATCTGCTGCTGGTGGAGACAGACGAGAGAAGAGAAAAGGGAGAAAATGGAGCATCTGGACTGGAAAAGCAAAGGAGGACAAAACAAATACCAAATGCAAATTATTTTGTGCTGGTAAATATTAAAATCATAGCTTGAGTCACACTGAGGGAGGGTGTGCCAGCTCTGCGGGGTAATAGTTCAAGTATTTTTATGTCACTCCAACTATTTTCAGAGTACAGTGAAGCAAAATGTATTTCTCCCATGATTTTGAACTAAAAATAACAACTTGGATGGATAAAAATGCAAATTCAATCTATCTAAAATACAAAATGGAAACACTTGAGTCAAAAATGTTATAATTACCTGTAGTTACAACAAAAACAGCACAATTTGTGGCTTTTATAATTAAAATAAATGTTTCATGTATTCTGAACTCTATTACTAAAAATGTAATCATAAAGCAAGTAAGATGAAGTACAGCAGCTTCATAGTTTTATTTTTTTTGTTCTGTTCACAATCTGATTATTTTTTCATACTATTAAAGTGAAGCTTTAAAGTTTGAATGTTTTCTTCCTCTTGAATTTTAAATGGATTTCATGTGTTCTGAGCTGCAGAAGAAATGTGAAAACACAGACAATGAAACATTTGCCAGTATACTTGAGGATTAGATTTGCTTTCACAATACAATACAACTTTATTAATAAAACACTTTTGAAAATGGCCAAATTGCTGTACACTGATAAAAGAACAATGTTAAACACGTAAAAGTAAGTTTAAAAACAATAAAGTCAGTTAAATTTTTCAGTCTTTCTCCCTTCTTGGATGGCTTTAATCTGTCCTCCAGCTCTAATGTTAAAAATCTTGGTGTTATTTTTGATCAGGACATGTCTTTTATCCCCCACATTAAAAATGTTACTAGAACCGCCTTCTTCCAACTGTGTAATATCGCTAAAATTAGAAACATCTAAAAATGATGCAGAAAAACTGGTACATGCATTTATCACATCTAGACTGGACTATTGCAATGGTTTGTTATCTGGGTGTCCAAAAACGTCTTTAAAACATCTTCAGTTGATCCAAAATGCTGCTGCCAGAGTCTAAACTGGAGTTAGTGGGAGAGATCATATCTCTCCAGTTTTAGCTTCTCTCCACTGGCTCCCTGTCAAATTCAGAATTTAATTCAAAATCTTACTTCTAACGTACAAAGCTCTCAACAACCTAGCTCTATCTTATATTACAGATCTTATTGTTCGATATTTTCATAACAGAGCACTTTGTTCTGAGATTGCAGGTTTACTTGTAGTTCCTAGAGTTTCCAAAAGCACAATGTGAGGAAGCTCTTTCAGTTATCAGGCTCCTCTCTTGTGGAACCAACTTTCAGTTTCTGTCCATGAGGCTGACACTTTGTCCAGTTTGAAGACTTTCCTTTTTGATCAATCCTATAATTAGGGTTGACTTGTTATGCTGCCTTAAGCTTAGACTACTGGAGGACAAATTGACCTCATTTCCTTAAATTAATTGTTACAATTGAATAGTTTTCATTTCATACTATTTCTATCTTAGCATGTGATTCTTGACCTGCCATTGTGTATCTGTTCCTACCAAACCCAGCCGGTCGAAGCAGATGGCTGTTTGTCCTGAGTCTGGTTCTGCTAAAGGTTTCTTCCTCATGAGGGAGTTTTTCCTTTCCACTGTCGCCTTCATGCTTGCTCAAGACAAGAGTTCTGTGATGGAGTTAAATTCAAAGCAGTCTGCTCCTCAGATAAATAATGTTAAATTATTATTTTTTATGAGTGATTTTGGTAGCTTATTATTTTTATATAATAATGTTTCAGTTCAGTGCCCTGAGACGACTTCTGTTGTGACTTGGCCGCTATATAAATAAACTGAATTGAATTAAAACTTTTGGGACCACAACCAGGAAATTATTTGCCGACCTGAGAGAGCGAGAGGAAACGTACAGCTGGAGCAGGTCGGACAGATGCTGTGAGGCGAGACCATGAAGACATTTGAAAATAAATAAAAGAACTTCAAAATGAATCGAGCAAAACAAACTGGGAACCAATGAGTCTAAAACAGGGGTGATATACTCTCATTTTTAGTACCAGTGAAAAGGTGAACAGCAGCATTTTGAACCAGCTGATTAAATAAAAGACTGGCTCCACCCAAAAAATGACTGCAGCGTAAACGAATTGTGATTTAAACAAAGCATGGATTAATTATCTCAAAATCATGCCGTGAAAGAAGTGGTTTGACCTTGGCCTGTTATCTCAAGTAATAAAAGCTGGACTCACTGATTTTATCTGTATCAAGTCTAAAATCGTTGTCCAGCCTGTCTGAGTCCAATGTTGCGTTAAAGGACCCAGATCAGCGTGGACTTTGAAAGCATCACTGGACTCAGTCTTTAGTTCATTAAAATGTAAAAGTTCAGCGACACCCACACTTTGATTTCTGCTCTGCATTCCTAGAATTGATTTTCTTGCTTTTCTGTTTTCTTGCACAAACTCATGTTTTAAGCACGAACTTCCAACTGTGTTCAGGTCATACTTTGTAATGTCCTTTCCACAAGCCCGTTGTTGTTCTGTTTTATCTATTCACAAAACAGTTTTCATGTATTTTTGGATCGTTGTATTGTTACTAACAGGCAGCTGTTTTTGACTTTCAGTTTGAAAACGGCTTTGAAAAAATACATTTCAAACAACTGCCTGACCTCAAATTGTCAGAGGTTGCTCATTTAAACAAAGTTTATGAGACAAAACAACGCAACCAGTCTTATCATAACTGGAAGGCCGTACCAGTTAGAGGCCCACAGGACCTACAGTAACATTGAATTGTGAACAGATATGCGCTGTATAGTAAAATCCTTTTACACCTAATGAGGACGCCTCAGTGTCTTGTTTCGGAAAGACCCCCAACAAACGTACTGTATCTGTGTCTGGCAGGTTTTAGGATGCGGTCCCTGAAGAAGACAGTGCTGCTCGCTGTCCTGGTGTCTGTGGTGCTCGTGTTGGCTCTCCTCCACTCATGGCCCACTCGGGCTTACACCACAGTGGATATATGGCAGAGACCTGGGCTACCAGGAGAGAGACATCCAGAAGAAAAGCTCCTAGAACCCGATCACCAGTTAGGCAACATCCCTTTTCATGTCAAGGATGGTGTAGCGAGGTAACGTCTGTCTTTATCAAATCAGAAATTAAATCTGCTCAAAAACCTTCTATCAGAAAACTGGTGAGCTTCAATCTGATCTCCTGCGTCTCATGATCAGCTTGCTGGCACGTAATGGGTGTGTATGTGAGGGCGAGAGCGGAGGAGTTAACCTGCCCTTTGCCCAACTCTTGTTTCCGCGGGTGTCGGCTCACCTGCTGCACACTGCCTTTGATGCCTCGGAGCTGGAGGAAATGAAGAAGAGACGGGCCAAAGAGTACAGAAGCTTTCAGAGCAGGTAACCTCAACAGTAAAATAAGACACGACTTTAAGTGACTAGCTGTTAGCTTATCAATCTAAACTGAGGTTGTATAAAGAGCTATCTACAACATGTAAGATAATAACTGTTTATAGGCTTCCTGCAAAACCCCACTCAAAAGGTCTGAATTATTCTTTACCCTGCTGATCTGAATTGAGATGTTCAGTTTATACTTTTATACGTATTCTGATGCAAACTTTTCTCCTCAGATCGAAGACTCCAGCAGACGCTCTCATTATCGCAGAGGCCAACAGTCCCCTGCAGTATCCAACACAGGGGCTGGAAGTACGGCCTCTGAAAACAACCATTGTCCCAGGTACCACTTGAGCTGGGCTGAGACATACAGAACTGAAGGATTTATGAATGAATCATTAGCAGCTCTGGAGTTCAGACTGTCTTTAAACCACATAAATGTATTTTTCTTTTGGATTACACTGTTGCAGAATGAAGTAACGTCCTGATGTTCTTATATTTTTATTCAATGTAATGAAATAAAATCAGTTTGGAACAATTAAATTTAGGGATGCACGATATTGGATTTTTGCCGATATGCCGATATGTTAGAACTTATTTGGCTGATACCCGATACCAATACCGATATTTTTTTCCCCCTAGACCTACTTACAGAGATTACATAGCTTTCTCTGCTATTGAATTAAAATATTATTATTATTATTCTGCAAGGTCTGTCAGTTTGGCCTGCTACCAAAGGCAGATGCCAAAAAGTATGGGGTGCCATTTGTACAGTTACACAGTCAAAAATTAACAGCAATATTTTCATTTATTTAGTATTTCATAAGAAAAAAATTGTTTTTTTTTCCACATTCAGATTTTCACAATGTTATTCATACATTTATAAATGTCATAGTTCCAAACTAAATATTTAGTTTACAAACTAAATATTTAACTTGCAAGTTAAATATTTAGCTAGCAAGTTAAATATTTAGTTAGCAAATGAAATATTTATTTTGGAAATTAAATGTTTAGCTTGGAAAATAAATATTTAGGTCCGAGCTCAACATTTAGTCAACAAATTAACTATTTAGTTTAGGAATTAAATGTTTAGCTTAGAAATTGAATGTTTAGATCTGAAAATAAATATTTAGCTTTGAAATTAAATATTTAATTTACACCTGAATACATCATTTAGTTCACTAACAATATTTAACTTGCAAGTTAAATATTTAATTTATACATTAAACATTTAGCTTGGACATAAACATTTAGTTTGTCAACTAAATATTTAGCTCCATGCTAAAAATTTAACTTGATAACTAAATATTTAACTTGTAAGTTAAGTATTTAGTTTGTAAACTAAATATTTAGCTTGTAAGTTAAATATTTAGTTTGGAGCTGTGACATTAGTATGAATAACATGGTGAAAATATGACTGTGAAAAAAAAAAGTTGTTTTTTTTCTTATGAAAAGCTAAATAAACCAAGATATTGCTGTTAATTTTTGACTGTGTAACTTTACAAACGTAACCATAAAAAAGAGGGCTGAAAATGATGTAACACTTGAACTTGAATTATGTTTAATGTCAAATTTATTCATGAAATTTAGTCTCTCTAACACAAGGACAACACTCAAACAGTGCAAATTTGTAAATTTTCACAAATCTAAACTCAACCTGTTCACAAGCGACAAGTGAAAAGCGCATAAGTAGTAGTGCATTAATAGATATACTTGACAGTTTCTTAAATTCAAAATTAACTTAAAACAGAAGCCTTTTATATTGGTGAGTTGTTTTTTTTATGGAATGTCCGATATTTAACTTTATCGCTGATATCGGCCGATACCGATACCATGCAGATAATATCGTGCATCCCTAATTAAATTGGTTTCTGCTGCTTTCAGGCTTGGCCTTACACGATGTCCCCAGAGACAATTACTCAGTAAGTGCTCTTTTTTTTTATCTCTCTACATATTTAATGTATTTGCAGTCCTGTCACACATCTGCTTTTCTAACCCATCCTGCTGCTGCAGATAAACATCACTGCCACACTGGGAACACTAAACGTAGCAGCAGAAGTAGAGGGGGTGAAAATTAAAGGTGACGGCGAGATGCACATGACCCTTTCGAGCGTCTTGCTGCTGAACCTGAACCGACAGCTGCAGTTCGTCACCTACACCAACACGCTGTTTCATCCGAGCACCTCAGACACAGGTAAGACCTTCTCAGCTCTGGAATTTCATTTGTCATTGTGATGAGAAAGTGGATGAAAACCACTCTCCTGTTTGTCAATATGTGTTCTTAAACGGTCAAAATAAGGTGAAAACATAAGCATTTATCAGCAGGTATCAAAGAACAAGCAGTAGTGCACTAACCAGAACTAAACTGATGGTTCTCCTTAAAAGATGTCATGAACCGAACACCACTTCAACAATAAGCAACCTGCGAAACACTTAAGTCTTAAGACATCTTTGTTACTGGAAGTCAGACCGTATATGACACGACTCTCAGTGTAAAGGAAACTGAATTATATCAATGAACTCCAAAATCTCCTACTTGCTTCTCGGCTTTGCTAGAAAATCTGAAAACAATCCCTGAGGATGACTGCGAGCACATTTTTTAGTCTTGTGAGACACTCTTAAATTTGTTTGCACATGAGGAAGCCCAGTGTTTAGTCTGAGGTGGAAGCAAAGTTTTGATAGTGTGACGCAGAAGTGTGTGATAATGAAGTGATGCATGTTGCAGGTGGAGTTCCTAAAATGTACAGGAAACGTCAAAATTGGTATATCAGAACGGAGACCAGATCTGGACATGTCCTAAAACTGGCAGAAGAATGTTCCAACGTGACAATTCATTAGAAAAAGAGAAGAAGATAAGAAGATTTAATCCAAACAAACTGCAAAGCTTGCATTCAATAGATTACAGAGAAAGGTAAAGTGACATAAGAAGTGGGGGGGGGTTGTATTTAAATTGCTTCAGTCATATTTTGTAGCTGAAATCTGACATGCCTTTTTTTGTTTAATTTCATTTTAATTAAAAAAAAAGATACATTTTGTGTGTTTTTTTTTCCTTTTCATCAGTTGGTCGAGCTGCTGCCTCTCAGCAAGAAGGTCGCCGGATCAAATCCCGGCCAGAGACCTTTCTGGGTGGAGTTTGCATGTTCTCTCCGTGCATGCGTGGGTTTTCTCCGGGTACTCCGGTTTCCTCCCACAGACCAAAAACATGCACGTTAGGCTGATTGGTAACTCTAAATTGTCCCTAGTGTGAGGGAGAGAGTGAATGGTTGCTTCTCTTCAAGTTCAAGTTTCTTTATTGTCATTCGCATCACATGTGGCACATGAGGTGGAACAAAATTATGTACCGGTACTCAAGGTCCCAGTTACACCCAAAATAGCAAAAATAAAAAGTATAAAAACAAACAGTATATAAGGATGATATAATTTTCACTATGCGTCTTTGTGATGGACTGGAGACCTGTCCAGGATGTCCCCCACCTCTCATTCAACCTTTATTTATACAGGTTAGTCTCATTGAGTCTTGAGGACTCATTTTCAAGAGAGACCTGTTTTAGACAGATAACATAAAGTGCAGAACTCAGAAGTAACAGAAGTATAGTACTCTCGCACAGTGACTGTTGGATATGGACACCAGTGACCCCTGTGACCCAAAAAGGAAGCGAGTAAAGATAATGGATGAATAAATGGATGGCTGGATGGACAGACCACATAGTGTCATTTGAGCTTTTCAGACATGTGCAGAGTGCTTTTCTGTTCATTTGAGCCAAGCAGTCAATTGTGATTCCGTCTAATAATGCATCCTCTTTGTTCTGCTTTGTTTAGCTTCCAGCATACATGATACAAGAACACAACTTGATTATTAGTAATATTATCAATAAATAGGTACTGATACTGACAAAGCACATTTATTGTGACTTTTAGTGCAGTTTGAGACAGAAGGACATCAAGCCGCCTTCAGCATCAAAATCCGTCACGGAGTGACCCCAAAACTTTACAACACTGGATCTAAAGGAGGTAAAGTTCATCCTCCTGACGTCTGTAACCACAGCTAAGCATCAGAACCAAAACATTTGTTGTTTAAGTTCAAAACCCATCTGTCTTCTGCAGAGTACAACGTCAGCGCTCTTGTGACTGTAGCTACAAAGACCTTCCTGCGGTATGAAAAGCTTCAGAATCTAATTGACAGCATCAGGAGATACTATCCCACCATCACCATAGTGATTGCTGACGACAGCGAAAAACCCAAAACAATATCCGGGCCCTACATCGAGCACTACATCATGCCCTTTGGAAAGGTAGGGGAGTGAACGTCTTGCTGCTTTAGCTGCTGACGCTTTCTGAACTTCTAATCCTCTGCACCTGCTGCTGTAGGGCTGGTTCGCAGGGAGAAACCTTGCCGTTTCCCAGGTGACCACAAAATATGTGCTCTGGGTGGATGATGATTTCATCTTCACAGCCAACACCAAGTTGGAGAAGCTCGTGGATGTTTTAGAAAAAACCACTCTGGATCTGGTGATTAAACTCTTACTTGGAATAAGTCCTGAGTGTGTTATGACAGGGATGTGAGTGTATGTGTGTGTGTTTGTGTTTAGGTTGGTGGTGCAGTGCGGGAAGCCACGGGGTACACCGCTACCTACCGACAGACCATCTCCATCGAGCCAGGAGAGGAGGACGGTGACTGTTTGCACATGAGGAGAGGATTTCATCACGTCATAGAGGGTTTCCCCAACTGTGTTGTGACAGACGGGGTCATAAATTTCTTCTTGGCACGCACCGACAAAGTCCAGCAGGTTGGCTTTGACCCCCGCCTCGCCAGAGTGGCTCACCTGGGTGAGTCCAGAGAAAAACTCTGAGATCTGCTGTCAGATCACAAAGATGAACAATGTGACTTTTATTTTAAAAATTAAAGGTTTATTACATACTTGATACTATAACTGATGTTATATATTTACTTAACTACACATTAAAAAAAGAAAGGTGCTGCTGCATGCTGGTTAAAGTGATAGTTCGGGTTATTTAAAGTGGGGTTTTGTAGAAAAGCCAAAAACAAATATTTGATGTTGTTTAACAAACTATCAACAGTTGCAAAATTAATTATTCATACCATTTCCACAAACTCCCACTTAAAAATAGTTCAGTTTGTTTTAATGCACAGTCAGATATTAAAAAGAAAGAGAGAAGCTTCATTAATGTAAATTTATTTATTTATTCATAAATATCACTAAATCTTCATGCAACAACGATGAATACATTTAGCTTTTTTTGTAGCTTTTCCAGTTGTCAGCAGTTGCCAATGTTTTTTTGTTTGTCTTGTATGAAAAATAAAAATGTTATAAATATTAAATTACTTTGTACATGTTAGCTAAATCAACCGTGTTTTCAAAGTACCTTCTCATATATACTGGTTTGTATATATATATATATATATATATATATATATATATACCTATTTTTTCAAATTGGGATCTTTTAAAAAGCTATTTACAAGTTTACAACAGATAAAATAAAAATTGTTCAGAACCTTTCCACAAACCTCACTCTAAAGATCCTTTTTAACGTTGCTCCACTAGTACACTCCAGTAAGACTCAAACCTTCAGGTTTAACTTTTTTGCAAATTGTAGAATTTATTTTAGCTTCCATTTCTACCCTGCATCCCACCTTTTTACCACCATGAATTCCAGATCATTCATTTGATCGTCTCGTTCTGTGTGTTTTCAGAGTTTTTCATCGACGGTCTCGGATCTCTCCACGTGGGCTCTTGCGACGATGTCATCATCAGTCATGCAACAAAGATCAAGCTCCCGTGGGTCAGCCAGTCGGAGAGCGACAAGACTTACGCCAAGTTCCGTTATCCGCCTGCCTCGTCGGACGCCACACGCACAAAAAATGGCCTCCTGTTCTTCAAGAACCGATTTCAATGTTTGACTCACAATTAGGCTCCTCCTCTTTCTTTTTTATCCCCGAAGGTTCCTCGGTTCTTCCTGAGTTGCCAAAGAAGTTCTCCTCCTCTCTGCAGAGTCAGATAAGATTCATGACGAACAGTCTGGTGCATGTTTGAAAAACCTTGGGATGTTTGTGGTTTCCATGTTTTGAGCTGTGTTTTGGCTCCTGCTGTCTCCGTGCGGCCCTCTTATTGTTGAGTCACGGCTCTGTAAATGAAGGGATCATGATTTGTCAAATCTTATCTGACCATAAACGCTTGAGCTGTTCGGATATGAAAGAAACAGCCAACAGGTAGCATCTGGACAGTTTGCGTCCCTTCTTTCTCGGCGTGTTTTTCTTGCGCCTGGTTGTTACCAACAGCAGGAGAACGAGGCCCGGGGACCTTTCCTAGAAAGAGACGGCCTCTGAAAGCATCCGTATCATTGTTACAGGTCCCGTGGAGAATATTTAAAGTGACTGAGTGGCTCTGTGGAAGGTGTGGCTGCTGGATTTGGGGTCCTAACCTTTATTTGTGTCCTCGTTTCTCTACCTCCTTACCCAGAGTCCTTTTTGATCTCACCCATGGGAAGTCACAGCTGATCTGGAAGCAGATTTTTTTTATTTTTTGGGCTGCTGCTTGCTGTCACCCTCCAGTTTCTTCTACAGGCGTCTCAAACACAGAGGAGTTCTTGTTTCTTTGCGCGCTGGTGAATGACAGGAAACTGCATCCTTACATGCTGCCTGAAAAGAAACATGGATGAACCAAAGTGCATGTTTGTTTTCAGGGACTGGAGAAGAACAAGCAGAAGGAAAATAAATCTGCATATTTGATGATAAAACATGGTGTGAGAAACGAGATGGTTCTGATGTTATTCTTCTAGGTTCTGTGGGTCGGAGATCAGAAAAGACAAAGCTCTTTTTTACTACATGGCCTTTAGAAGCTCCCCTGACTTCCTGTATGACTCTTAGACCTGTCATTTGTTAAAAGCAATGCGTTACAAAAAAAAAAAAATTGTAATTTATTTTATTTTTGAGAAGAATATTTTTGACTATTTTTCTGTCTTGTATATTTGCTTTCTTTTATTTTTTTCTTGGTTCGAAAACAAATACCCATCATACTTTAGATTTGGATTTGTGCATTGGTGGGTTTTTAATTAGTTTGACACTTTTTACAAACTAATTAAAAAAAAAAAAAAAAGCCATAGACTTTTTAAAAATTTGTTGTGTTGGCACATAAACATATTGCCTGCTTCACTCCAAAAGCACTGACGTCGGTAGTTTAATCAATGCATCATGAACTGTTTTTTTATATTTAAAATGTGTGTAAAAATAAAAAAAATAAATACTTGTTTTAGAGGGAGTTCTGAGACACTTGTTTCTGTCAAGCTCCTGAAAGTATCGAGAAAATCCAAAGCTCCTAAATTACATTTGCAGAATGAAACTTTATTGGATGTTTTGATTTTAAATCTCTCATGATGGTTCACATTATGGGCTTAGAATTGTAGAAAATGTTCAATCCATGTTTTAAACGCTTTCAGTACCTGCCTTTTCCTGTTCAGAGTCATGGAGAGCTAATGCTAATCTCCATACAGGTCACTACTGGCTAGTCCCTCACAAGACCACACACACACGTTTGTCTTTCTGTCTTTGCAGGGACTTTGCATTGACTTCCATTCATTTTCACTCATTTCTATAGCCTAACTCTGACCCTTACCGTAAACCTAACTCATCCTAATTCACACCTTAGTCTTACTCCTAACCCACCAACAGCAACTCTTCTGTGGGGCCTGGGCTTTGGGACCTGTAAGGAGCAGTTGGTCCTCACAATGTAGTATAAGTTGGAAAATGGCCCTTGCAAAATAACATAAACAAAGGTCTGATGAAGATTCTCATGGTAAAGCCAAAAAAAGAGTTAAAAGTTGTTTTGTTTTTTAATTTTTTTTTAATTGAACATAAACAAAGACACACACAGACCTTGGGTGCAACATCACCAACCTAACATGCTTGTTTCGAAGCTGTCAGAGGAGCCTAGCGTATCCAGGGAAAATGCACGAGGAGAATGTACAAACTCTGCTCAGAAAGACCTCAGATGGGAGTCAAACCCAGAATCTTTTTTTGCTGTGAAGCAACTCTGGATTTAACATTTCAAACGATGAAAGTAAATGACCCATGTGGTTCGCTGAACTTCTATCCATCATCTTTTCTCACTTCTTCCTTTTCAGATCGTGGTGGTCACTGATGTCCATATCCAGCAGTCACTGTGCAAGCGGCGGGGGACACCCTGGACAGGTCTCCAGTCCATCACAGGGACACATAGAGACAAACGAGACCAGTCAGCCTAACATGCATGATTTTGGACTATAGGAGAAAAGAGGAGTACAGTACCTGGAGAAAACCCACTTTCGTGAATTAAATAAATGTCAGGGGGATTGGGATACAGTGTAAATTCTGGTTCAGCAGGTAACAATAGCTTTCGGCTACACTTTTTAGATTTTGCTAGTTTCAGATTTTATCAACTGTTTTGCTAATTGTAGTTTTTAGCTACAGTTTTGCTTATTTTAGTTTTTTTAAATTGTTCTGAGTTTGGGCTTCTAGCAATTGCTTTGCTACGTTTAGCTTCTATCATTTATGTTGCTTTTTTGCTTTTAGCTACAGTTTTTTGGTTTTAGCTTTTTTTCTGCTTGTTCTAACTTTGAGCATACAGCAACAATTCAGTGTTTAATACATTTCAGCAAAGTCATTTTCAACCCTTGTCACACACAATTTCTCAGGTTATTATACTGTATTACATCTGAAACAAGGCCGTCTAAAGAAAAAGAATAAAACATCCCAAACTAAAGCAGCTGAATTCACCTCCTTCTTAAAAATCTTAACTGTCATAAGCTTCTGTTTACTACTTCTTTATTACATACGATAGATTTGTTTTGTTATGGACTGTCGGTTGAGTGCTGTCTTCTGGGTAGTGGTTCCTAAACTTTTCAGCTTCTGACTCGCAACGTAACATTTGTGACCTCATTAGTTGGATCTCTGGACATATTGTCGAGACTCCCACTTGGTGTTTTCTAAGTATGCAAAGCAAATTGGATCCAAAGCATACAGTTTGGTGAAAAATATTATCATGAAACACATATTTAGGAAACAATATGTGGACGATGATCATGTCGTTAAAGCAAACTGCAATTGGCAGAATATTTACAAAGTCTGCCTGAGATTTCAGCTCACAGATCGACAGCTGAAGTCATGACCTTGATGGAAAATATGGAAATTACTGAGACACAGTGAAAATGAACAAGCCTGGGGGACCGGATGTGTCAGCACTGGACTACAAACAGGCCTTTTAGGTCACAAGGAAGTTGTTTGTCTGGTGTGTTGGGTGGTTACAGGTTCTTTTTTTTAAATGTGTGGAGGTAGAGGGATAATTAGAGTCAAACATGACAGCATTTCAGTGAGGGGTTTTGCTTGTTTACAGCAGGTTGATAAAATCTGTTAAAATCCTTATTTTTGTAATTCCCCTCTCCATGTGTCCCTCAGTTTCACCTCAGTTAACAGTGTCTATATCAGAATCAGAATCGACTTTATTGTCATTGCACAGTTAAGTACAGTGAAATTTTGTTCTGTACAGCCGTCTGAAGGATAGATGGAAGGGTACCGGGGCTGCGGCTCCCTATGAGCGCTGTCCTTATCACTTAGACAAGAAAAAGTGAAACAAAAAAAAAGATCTCTCACACCGTGTCCTTGACACAGGACATGGTGTGAGGTAACAAAAAATCTTCCTTAGCAAGCAACATAGAGAGACATAATACATTTTGTGTGGGGGGGGGGGGGGGGGGGGGTGGGGGGACAAGACGATGAGATTGTTCATGAACACTTCCAGATAGTTTCCATAGTCCTGATAAAGATGTTACATTGTCTCTCATCCAGTCTTTTAAGGATTCACAGATGTTCTGGGGGGGGTGTAGGAGAGGATCAGAGCATCTTGTTTCCATAACACCGAAGGAAAAATAGAGAAAGTCAGCCTTCCAAGGCCAGATCCACATTCAGATTTCAACACTGTTTAGGGTCAGGCCAAGCACTTTAAATTCCGTGTCTGCCTTTTACAGTCTCGCTAGTATCTCATGGCGACTCCAAACAGCTGAATTGTGATTACTTAGGCCGAAGTCGGGCTTACAACTTCTCCAAGATCTCTTCCTTCCTATCGTCCGTGAACACTGCCACAAAGTTTCACAGTCCTGCCTGCTCAGCTCTGATACAGGCCCACAGATAGTTCGCACAGAGTCTGAGTGTTGCCAAGCCCGGCATATGCATTCCAGACAGCTTAAACAGCTGCTGATGTTTCCAAATTTGTCGCCAATCCAGATTTCCACCAACTCCAAAAAGCGGGATCCAGTTATCATAAATCCAATCATTTCCAAGCAGAGGGCTCTCCTTCGTCCTGTCTTCTTGTGAGAAAATTTGATCAATTGCGTTGAACTGAACAAATCCATAGTTTACAATTTAGAAGGTATGCAAAAAGGGGCTCTGAAAAAGGTTCACAAAAACAATGAGTAAAAGCAGGAGGGTAGGTAGGAAAAGGAAAGAGTGCATCCCTCTTAGTTGAGAGCAAGAGAAGGGGAAATATATATATACATACATACATGCATATTACTGTTCAAGTACTTAGAGTCCACAGTCCAGGAAAACAGGGAGTGTGATAAAGAGGTGAAGAAGAGCAGTCTAGGCAGGATGGGGTGGATGGAGAAAAGTTTCAGGAGTGATCTGTGACAAAAGCATCAGCAAAGGTCAAAGGCAGAGTTTACAAGACAGTGGTGAGACCAGCTATGTTGTATGGTCTGGAGACAGTGGCATTGACAAAAAGACTGGAGACAGAACTGGAAATGGCAGAAATTAAAATGTTGAGGTTTTCCTTAGGACTGACAAGGATGGATAAGATTAGGAATGAGATCATCAGAATTACAGCACAGGTTGAACAACTGGGAGATAAAGTTAGAGAGACCAGACTGAGATGGTTTGGACA